AATAGTGATAAGTGTCATAATTGTTGGATGGTTGAAAAATACATTCCCAATAGAAAAAAAATTATTTTTTATTTAATAATTTAAATTATATAATTCAATATAATTCAGATTATACAGTAATTTTTTGTTCTACTAATAATCTCAATTGCTTGCCAATGTCATTTTTGAAGAAGTCAGAACAGCGTGTTCCGACACAATACAGGTGCGCCATCATGTTGAACGGCCTGACGGTATCCCAAGAGTTTTTAACTACCAGAATTGGAATATTTCATGTTAATGGAGCAGTATCCCTTTTTCCTTTCAAATATGCTACCTTCTACTTGAATTGAATATCACTAATATACTCCTAATTCCACAAGTCATCTAGTGCCTCAAAACACCCTCAAACTTTCATTTGCTAATGTAATGCAACATTTTCTATTAAATTTTTCTCACGTTGAAGTTAGTTTATGCAAACTTCCAACACCCTAATAGAGTTGACATTGCAAAACAATCAAACAAGGGGTTAAACATTTGAAATGCAATTCACAATTTTCTTGTTTCCAGCTTCAGGAAATACCTCAGCAATGTAATCTTAGAAAGAACACACAAGTGAAATTCTTGCAAAGAGTAATAAGAAGCTCAACTAGCTCAACAGAATAAAGAAAACTCTGTTTTTCACTCTGGACTGCACTTTAACATGCACCAAAACTATCAAAATACATTTAATAAATTGACATGTGGGAGAATTTCATTAAGGGTGTTTCGACAAAATTATAATGGTGCAGTTTAGACTAAAAAATACATTGTCGAAAATAAGAAGAACAAATGAAGTAAAAAGGGACAGAACCAAGAACCAGCATTTCCTAGAACCAATCATTAATCATTAACTCTCTGAACAAATACTAAAATCACGGGTAGTTGGTTTAGTCTTCATGAATGTTCCAAAGCCATTGAGGATTCACTTTTCTGACTACTGTCTGCTTACATGAGGAGGGATATTACTGTAGAATATACCAATCATAAAGGAACTTTTCTGCATGTATCATCAAGCCACATCAGGGTTTAAATTAATACACACGACAAACGTACCTCTAAGCTTTGACAACTACAGACAGAGATAATATTTGTTGCAGAGGAATGGTAAATGGGTACATCTCGGGTAGGACGGTGGAAGGCTTGATATATAGAATTGCTGAATGCAACTAGAGGAAAGGACATGATAAATGAATATAACAACGGGCATTGAGACCCATTAGAGTGCCTTGTCTTTTGCAGTAAGCTTGATGACATTGGTCTCGTGTGATTCTTACAAGCTTCGTTATTAGACCAAGACTTGTGGGTTTTGTCAGATGGTGAATGGCAATAAATTTTTTCCATGTTTTTCTCGTTTGTCACATCCATATGAAAAGTGAGAGATACAAAATTTCTTGAAAAAAGTAGAAATCTATTATTGTTTAACTGCAAAACCCTCAAATTCACCTCTTAAAAAGGTGGGTAGGGACATATTTAATCCTCGAAATAATATAAAGAGAAATTATTCATTCAAATTATGAATCAAAATAAATTACTCATTTTTTAATAAATTCTGTTTGTCATGTAAGTACTTTTTAACGGAAAATTAATAAAATTCATTAAAAAAT